GGGAATGGGAGCGGGACGGGAAACGGCAGCGGGACTGGGAACGGGAGCGGTCGGGGAGCTCCACCGCCGCCTCCACCCCGCAGCCGCGTCCCGCACCCGGCGCTCCGTTCTCCCCGCGGAGCTCCGCCGGAGCCCGGCCCGCATTCCTGGCATAACTCGGCTCGACCGCAACCACCCTCCTCCTCCCCATCACCCCGCTCCAACGGGGAGGATGAAGCAACGGCGTCCCGGTCTCCCCGCGCTTCGTCAGGCAGCGAAGGCGAAGGGCAAAGCGGTGCCCACCGTCACCGCGCCGCCCGCAAGAAGAAGAAGGAGAGCGGTGGTTGGGAGAGCCCGGCCGACGGTGGCGAGGCAGAGGCCGAAGGCTGCGCCAGGGTGGTCCCCCGTCACCCCTTGCCCGTGGTGGCCCGAGTCTCCAAGGTGAACATCTTGCCCTTCGGCAGCCCCGGCGGGTCGCGCAGCGGCAGCCGTTATTCCAGCACGGAGACGCTGAAGGAAGAGGAACAGTTTGGGATCTGTTGGCCCAACCAAGGACGGACTCTCCAGGCGGGTTACGGCATCTATCGGTCACCCAGTTTCGGGACGAGCGATGGCCTGGCGTGGGGACAGCCGGCGGTCCGTGTCCGGCCCAAGCTGCCGCAGGGCACAGCCAAGGCGAAACCGGACTTTGGGAGTGAGAGCCTGCACCAACCGGGGCTGGAAGGGGAGCGGGCCAAGAACTGCAAGTCCTTGTCCAACCCCGACATCGCCACCGAGACCCTGACACTCCTCAGCTTCCTTAAATCAGACCTCTCAGAGCTGAAGGTCAAGAAGAAAGGGGTGAAGATCGGCCTTGACGCGGGTTCCGATGGCTGCTCCGGTATCACCAGCCCCTCCCCGGGCAGTCGTGGTGCTGCTCAGCCCCCCAACCGCTGGGCGCCGGGCGAGCGGCCAACGCTCAAGGACTTGACAGCCACTTTGCGTCGTGCCAAGTCCTTCACCTGCTCAGAAAAATCGGGGACGCGGCGGCTTTTCCTACAGAGCACCATGAAGCAGAGCTCCTCTGAGCTCCTCCTGGCCACCACCGACAGCCAGAACCGGGTGGCTCTGGATGGGGGACAGCGGGGGGATGAGGTTGCTCTCCCCATGGTCATCCAGGACCAGTACATCCAGGAGGCGAGGCAGGTCTTTGAGAAGATCAGCAGGATGGGTTCCCAGCAGGACTATGGCTTCACGGCCGAGCAGAAGGACAGCGGAAGTGTGGAGGGCGCCGAGGTAGTGGCACCGACGGGGACGACGGACACGACCCTTCGGGGACGAGTGGAGAGCACGCGGTGTTTGAAGGAAGCGGAGTCGGAGGAGAACCTCACTCGCAGGAAATCCGTGGAGGAGCTGTCAGGTCACGAGTCAAGCGTGACGGACGAGGGCATCGTCACGGAGCTGGAGCCCGTGGGGATGCCCTTCCAAGACATGCATGAAGCTGTGGACTCCTGGACGCTGCCCAACGCCGGACTGGCAGCCAGTGACCCCGAAACGCCGCTGCTCAATCACCCGGCAGCGGTGGTCGAAGATCTTCCAGGCGGCAAATCCGAGACACCGAGCACCCCCGGCAGCTTGCGCCGCCGCCGTAAGTTCCCCTCAGCAGGTGCCAATGGGCTGGAGGGTGGCACTGAGGGTGGCACCGAGCCCTACCGCTCCCTTAGCGACCCCATGCCCCACCGGAGATGCTCAGTGGCGGAGGAGACGAAGAATTTCTCCGTCGACAGCAACCTCCTGGGCTCGTTGAGCGCCAAGGCAGGCATCCCCCAACCCGCCGCCATTGCAGGCAGCGCAGGCAGCGCGGGCAGCGACCTGTCGCTCAGCAGCGATGGGCCACGGGACTACAGCAGCCTCATCCGAACCATTGTCAGCCAGCCCGGTGCCATGGCTAAGCTCATTGATGAGAAAGGCAACGGCAAGACCATCAAGAAGAAGTCTCTGAGCGACCCCAGCCGCCGCGGAGAGCTGCCAGCCGGCGCCTTCGAAGGTCCCGGGGAGGCCATCAGCGAGCTGGAGCCCAGCATCCCACCGTCCAGCAGCGAGCCCATCCTCTCGGCACAGCCAGCAGTGCCGTGCCCCAGCCATGGCTATGGCTTTGACCCCAAGTTGGCCGACGTGTTGTCCCCTCGCATCGCCCGGCGCAGCTCCAAGAAGCGCTCCAACCGCGCAGCTCACCAGGAAAACCAACCGCCACCGGCGCCTGCCGTCCTCGCCAAGAGCCGCCCGGCCACCAAGCACATCCGTCACACCAGCGAGCCTGCCACCTTCGTCCCCATCACCGTCCCCGAGCCGCTTGTCCCCTCTGGCCACCACAGCCACCTCCCTGTGCCGGCTGCCAGCCGCTCACCTGGCAAATCCTTCCCAACCCTCCAACCTCCTTCGCTGGAGGATGTCACCAAGCGGTACATGCTGGCCCTCAACTCAGGTGACACGTCCCCCGGTCCCGGGGATGGACCCCGCTCTCCACCCGCTGCCCCACCGCCTCGGCTGCCCCGGTGCCCGCGGCCACCTGATGAACACGGCCCCAGGACCAAGCCGCAGGTGGTAAGTGCCCATCCATCCTAAAAACACCTTAGTTTCATGGGGTACGTGACCACTCCAAAGCGCTGGTAGCTTTGGGGGTCCCTCACATGTCCCTTGTTGGGGACAAATTCCCATCCATGGATGCGCTGTTGGATGGCCAAGAGCCTTCCCAGCCCTTTCTGATGGTCCCAAGGGGATGAGGTCTTGTCTGTAGGAGCAACTCCTCCCTATAAAAGGTGATTTTTGGATGGGAAGAAGCAGTTTTCAGGTTAAATAGCACCAAATTTTGGTGGAAGGTGGTTTCCTATATATTATAGGCTATATTTATATATAGCATCTCCCAGCAATGCTATATAAGGTCCCCATAAACGGGTGTGCTCTTGGCTGGACTCAAGACACTGAACCAAAAATTGCCTTTTCTTTGGCGGGAAGGGCTTAATTGGTCCTTTTGCTTGGGATTTCCCATGTCACACTCCTTATCGAGCAAATCAGCATTTTCCTCCCCAAAAAATCGCCATCCTTCTGCCCGGGACCACAGGCTTTGCCGTGCTGGCGACATGGGAAAAAGAGGGAAAAATATTCTTGCGCGTGCACTGAAGTTTTTCTCGATGGGTAAAGTTTTATCCTAGTGCTGCTTGGGGGATGGAGAGGCGCTTTGCTTGCCCTGAAGCGCTGCCGCCTGCTTTGGGATCTTTCCTGGGGTGTGTTTTCAGCTTTGTCAGCCCCTCGGCTGTTGTTTGAAGATGGACTTGGGTTCCCATCGCTCCGGGTGTTTGTGCTGGGAAGAGCTTGGAAACGCCACCTCCTCCTGCGGCACAGCAGTGCCGGCACCCACGGGGCTTTTAATAGCTCCGGGCTAAGCCCAGAAATACCCGTTCCCGTGGGGGATGAGCCGAGAGCTCGCGGGAACGGGGCTGGCAGGGCTCTCTCGCCCTCCTTTGATGCCGATTTAAGAGGACGGGCTGGACCGTTCCCTTCCAACAGCCGCCAGCAGCCAAGCGTGAAGTCCCGGGGGCTGAGCCCAGCGGTGTAACCCTTGCTGGCCGGGGCAGAGCTGCGTGGAGCTGTTGGGTTTTGGTTTTTTGTTTTTTTTTTCTTTGCACGCTCCCAAAATTCAAATCCCTGCGGCATCATTCCCCCAGGATATTCTCTTGGGGTCAGGCATGCCCACAGCGTTATTCCTTTGAAGATACTATCTTGGGATCGGGCATCCCTGCAACATCCTCCCCCCAGGATACTCTCGTGGGATCCAGCATCCCCACAGCATCATTCCCCCAGGATATTCTCTTGGGGTCCATCATCCCTGCAACGTCATTCCCCCCAGATACTTCCCTGAGGTCTGGCATCCCTGTAGCATTATTCCCCCAGGATATTCTCCTGGGGGGCTCTGCCCCCCATCCAGCTCCTTCTCCAGCTGTGGTCCCCATCACCAGACAACAGCCGATGGTGGCTGAGAACTGGGAGCTCTTGGCTCCTGCGTAAAACATCCTTGGAAATAATTTGGGGTGAATTTTGCAGCGTTTTTGCCCGATGTACTAGTTTAGAGTGAGGTGCTTTGTTCTCTCTGACCTCGGGATGAAAAGTGCTACAGAAGCATCGAGCGTTATAATTAAGCAGGGTAACGAGGAACCTCCCGTGGCTGTGGCTGGCAGCACCTTGGGGACATCAGCAGGTCCCCAGGATGAGGCAGTGCACCTGGCGACATTTATTTATAAAGAACCATCTCTCACTAAATTATTTATATGTTAGGTTTATAAAATATATGGTTTATATTAATAATTTATGAAGAGATAGTTCTTGATCAGGCAGCTCCCCGCAGTGCCCCAGGGATGGTGCCTACCCCGGGATGGCCCCGGTATCAGGGATGCTCCGCTGACCCCTCACCCCAATACACCCCCCAACCCAGGTCACTTTGGGATCATTTTGGGTGGATTTTTACTAACTCCAGCACTGGGTTCTGGCAGCCCAGTTTGGCCGAGCATCACCTCGGGGACACGAGCCACCCCGCAGAGCTGGACCCCAGGGATGCTGCTCCTCACCTTGTTTGAACCCTCTGGCCTGGGCGAAGAGGGTGCGAATTTTCCCTTTTAAGGGCAACGCCGCAGCTGTATCTTCAAATCTCTCTCCTGCCTTTGAATTTCTTTGTGCTGCAGCCATAACATAACTGAAACCAGGATTTTTATTTCTTTTTTTTTTTGATTTATTATATAGTGGAGCTGGGATGTTTTATTTCAGATGGCACCAGCCTTGGCTGGGTC